GGTCAGCTACGACGGCTTCGTCAGGCCCAGCAGCGCCCTCTCGATCACGGGCCGCGACGTCAGCCAGTGCCAGGCCGGCTCGAGCCCAAGCTACCCGAACCTGGTGCTCACCCTCGCTCCGCAGGCCGACGACCTCGGACAGCAGCCAGCTCCGACCATGAAGTCGGGCGACCACGACTGCACCATTGTCTTCGGCGACGAGGCCAGCAAGAAGGCAGGCCGCGCAGTCTGTCGAGGCGCCCTGCTGTTGGCGAAACGCCGAGGCCGCCCGAGCAGACCCATCTTCAACTTGTCTCTCGCAGCGTACGAGCAGCTTTTCAACTGGGCCGTCCTCGACGCCGGCCTCTCGGCACTCCGCGTGGCCCCGCGCTGCGCCAGGCGTGGCGGACCGAGCACCGACGCCGCTCTCAAGCTTCGTTCGATCCAGGATATCCAGAAGAGGTCTGTGGCGTTCGGCCACAAGTGTACACAAGTATGGCAAACATTGGACTTTGATGAGACAGATCAACAAGATGAGCTCGAAGCAGCTCAAATCTGTGCCAGCAGCCCTTCGCAGGCTGCAGCTTCTCTTCAAAGTTTAACGTCTCCCATCCCACCCTGTGCCCACAGATCGATTTACGGGTGCGGGAGGTCCGAATATTTCGATAATTCATGCTGGTTCTGTGTTCTTGAGGCCAGGGCCTCGCGAGAAGCGACGCGTCCGTGCAACACCCTTGGCAGAAATGGCTTTCCGAGAGCTTCGCGCACTAGCATGTCCTGTCTCGCGTCTGCTTTGGTCGCCCGTGTAGAGTGGCCAATCGGCGCATTAGCAATGTTCTGTTCCCAACATATTGCTGTGTTCTCGAGGGCGACCGCCCATCGACATCGACCGATGCGATGGGCCGCGCTGCGTTTTTGGCTCATAGTCTCACCCACCCACACCGAAGGGGGGGGAGGTCAGAATATCTGTATAATCCTGGCTGGTTCTTTGTTCTTGAGGCCAGAGCCTCGCGAGAAGCGACGTGCCCGTGCAACGCCCTCGGCAGAAAGCTCCCAGAGCGCTTCGCGCACTAGCATGTCCTGTCTCACGTCTGCTCTGGTCGCCCGTGTAGAGTGGCCAATCGGTGCTTTAGCAATATTTACTTGTCCCATGAATTGCGCCGCGAAAGGCCAATGCGCCGACAGACGAGGCGCGATCCTGGAGATGGCCGTGCACGGAAGCGGCGATCTTCGCGATGTTGCCGCCGTTGGCTGGCCGTGGAAAGAGACCTTCCCCATGATGCTGCCAAAGACAGGCAACCGCTTCGACGTGACAAAATATAGGCCCAGTGCTATCTTGAAGGCTTTCGATCGCTTGCAGCCTGCGCTGGACGCTGAGTAACATGTCGACCAAGTTGGCGTTTGGCCTCACCTGTCTGTAGATGAGAAGGCTGCGTTCCTCGCGTTCGAGGACGCCTGTTCGACGTCTTGGGCGTACAACGCCGCCGTGGATCATCAGTGTCGGCCTTGCAAAAACGCTTAATTCAATCGATCACCGCATCTTGTTCGATGCTCTGCGCAAGCGAGGAGTAGCTGGCGAGTGCATCAGGCTGCTGTCTGACATCTACCATAACCGGGCTGACATTATCAATGGCAGCGCGGGCCTCTGCATTCCGCGCGGCGCCGAGCAAGGGGATGTATCATTTTTCTTGTTATCCAACGCATGTTTGGCGACCGCTGTGCGAGACGTCAAGAGACGAGCGGCTGGAAGGGGCGTTGCAGTCGGTCAGTTGGCGAAGTTGTGCAACGTTCGATTCGCCGACGACATCTTATCGCGCGCGACATCCGCCGAAGAAGCAATCCACACGTTGGGCGCCCTAATGTTGGAACTCGGCAAGAGAGGGCTCTCGCTGAACTCCAGCGAGACCAAGATCGCGACGAATGGCGCCGATCTTCAAAACTCCTGGAAGCGTTGAGGTTTGACTTTGCTGGCGAGCCGTTGACAGCAATGACCGACGAAGACCGCCGCGAATACCTTGGCCGAACATTATCTGGCGACCTGCGCGGGCGCGTGACTTCCACTCCGAATTACCGGATGAGGCGCGCATGGGCCAGATGATTCGAACGGCTACGTCTTGGCAAACAGGCGTATCTCCTTAAGACTCCGCCTGCACTTGTTCCGTGCGACTGTCGCACCATCGGCCGTGCATGGGCTTGTCTGCCAACGGCCTGCCCGACGACCATCGCCGTGGCATTGGTTTTGCGCGCCGGCTGATGCTGCGCAAGGTCGCGGGGTGCACCGAGCCGGGCGGCGATTCCTGGGAAGTCGCAGGACGCCGTAGCAAATTGCAAATTCAATGGGCGATGGACAACGCATACAGGGTTCCAGATTGGCTCCGGAACATGGACAGGGCTAGGTGGCGTCTGATCCAGAAATCGGGCCTCGAGTGGGACTTTTGGGCGTCCATAGTCACGCGTCGAGTGCCCGACATAGCCCGCAGGGGAGGGCGGCCGCGGACGCGGTGCCACTACAGCATCAACGCGCTCTTGTCCTGAAAGGGAACATTTTCACACAGAGTTTTTGAAGAGCCACGGCATTTTCCAGTGGGCGACGTACGAGCAGGAATACGTCGATCACATGAGCATAGAGTGGTCGCCAGTTTTTTCTAATCTTCGTCGTCCTCCTCCTCCTCCCCCCCCCTTCTCTTCACGGTATGCGTGAAATTTTGCCGGCCGCTCAGTTGCGCAATCGGGAATGATGTATGCGAGGGGTGTTGTCTAACGCTGTATTCGGTTCACATTGTATCCTTTTCCGTACGCATTCAGGGGGCGAGCGGTTCTTTGAGCCGGCCGGTCGGACTTGCTTGTTGCTTGCTGCTGGTTGCTTGCTTGCCTTTTTCCAAATTGCCTCCCCCCCCGTTCACCCCAGCGCCATCCGTTCCCGTTTCCTCCTGCTCCTTTTTGTTGTTCCTCGTCCCGCCCAATAGCGCCCCAGATGCAGTCGGAGCGCCCCAAGAGTGCCCAAGATGGTTCCAGACGGCCCGAGAGGTATTCACGACCGCTCAAGAGTCAAACTATAGCCAATTTCGCTGAAGCAGCTTTGGCTCAAGCAATTTGGCTTAAACCATGTGGCGTGATGTAGTTTCTCTCAAGGCAAGCTGCAGAAAACGTGTGGAGTGGGTGGGCTTTGTTTGCTTGTGGTTGCTGTCCTTGTCTATTCACTATATGCCGCGAGCGTGCGACATTATTGCGCTCTTTCTCCCGCCCTCTCTATCCTCCGCTCCTGCTTCGCCCCGAAAGAACCGATAAACATTATGGGGCCGATCGTCGCACCGAAAGCAAGTCGCTACAGCAACGCTCTCGATTGATTCATCTGGCAAAACTGGAACCACAGCGTGGCAAGAGGCTTACGCCAGCCCGCCGGCCCCCAGAAGAGATATGAAGTTAACGGGTGTGGCCTTTTGGGGCCTTTTGGGGACCCCCGTTTGGGCATATTGGGAGTTTTTTTCTGGCCTTTTGGGATTTTCTTGGGCGCTTGCTGGCGATATCGGGGGTACTCTCGGGGCGGATGGCTCGGAATACCAGTTCGAGTTGCATCGCTTGAGCTCCTCTTGGGGCCTTGTGGGATCTCCCTCAGGCCATCTTGGGCGCCTCTTGGGCCGTCTCGGGACCCTCTTCGCCCGTCTTGGGGCCCTCTTGGAGGCTTCTCGGGCCGTCTTGGGGCGATCATGGGCGCTTTTTGATCGGTCTTTGACGCTGTTGAAACCAACACATATACATTTCCCCAATGGGTTTAGACGATTATTGCGTCTTGGGGCCCTCTTGGGGGTCATCTTGGAGCCCTGTTGGGGCATCTTTAAGGCCTCCTGGACAGTCTTGAGGCTATATTCGCCGACTTCGAGGACGCCTGTGCGTGTTAGAACCCTGCTCGAGCAGGCGTAGATCGATTCGTAGGCATCTTGGAGGCCGCGGAGTGTAGAAATGGAGGCGTTGGAGGCCCCGGGGGAGCGTTGATGAGCTCGGAGAGCGCCCCCCCGCCCCCCCCCCCTCCAATCAGATTGCAGTCCCCAGGGGAGGGGGAGGAGGAGGAGGAGGAGGAGGAGGAGGAGGAGGAGGAGGAGGAGGAGGTGGAGGAGGAGGAGGAGGAGGAGGAAGAGGAGGAGGAGGAGGAGGAGGAAGAAGAGGAGGGTGGGTGGGGGTTCGGAGGCCGTCGCACGCGCGGCGAGATCCGAACCCTGCCCCCCTCCTCCCACCGACTCGGGAGAGTCGATTCGGTGGCGAGTTCGAGGAGGAAGTGAGAAGGGGCAGGCCGTCTCAGGAGGCTCGGAAGTCTCCTGGCCTTCTGAGGTGTTTTCTACGCCGTCCCGGCGACGCAGAAAACACTTCTTAGAAGGCGCGAGGGCCTCTGAGAAGTCCCGCCGCCTTCTGAAAAGGCCTTCTCTCCCACTTCCCCCCCTCGCTTGCCGCCGAGAATCGATGGTTGGTGGGGTTGGTTCGGCTGTCGCCACCTGCAACCGTTCTTCGACCCTCGATCTCAGATCGATCGATCCTGCCGACGGCCGCGCCTGCGTGGACTGCGGGGCCTCGATCCTCGATCGGTCTTCGATCCTCGGCCCTCGATCCTCATATCGCTCTGTGACTCCTCGATCCTCGTATCCTCCGCCCTTGTGATCCTCACATTCTCGGCGGGGGTGGGGTTCGGACGCGGCCACCTCTGTGAGGAGCGCGGGCGGAGGCAGGGATTGGCCTCGACGATGTTTTTTGGGCGGTTTCGTGCACCATTGTCGCTCCGATGTCGTTATGCAGTAAAAGGCTGATTGAAGACACGAACAGGAAAAACTAAGACATCACGAAAACGAGGGGAAACAAAAACACGAAAACGTGGGAAAACGAGGGGAAGCGACAACAAAACGAAAACGATGAACACTGTTCAGGGCGACCCCTGGGCGGAGGAAGAGCCGCCCGCGCCCGCGCACCGCGCGCGTGGGGACCGAGGCAGGGCCGGGGCCAGCCCCGTCTCGCCGGGCTCCCCCCCCCCCCGTGAGGCGGGGCGCGGCGGCAGCGCGACGGCGGGGCGCGGCACAGGACCGAGCGGCGGGGGGGGGGGAAGGGACGGGGCGGCGTCGCCAGTTGCCTTCGAGCTTTGCCCCTCGCCTCTTCCTCCCCTCCCCCTCTCCGCCTCTCTGGGCCGTCTCCTCGATCGTCCCACCCCTGCCTCGAGCCTCTCACTCGCTTCCCCCCCCCCCCCTCTGCCCCTCCCCCCTAGCCTCCTCCTCCCGCCCTCCCCCCCCCAGACAGATCCTGCTTCACCCCCTCCCACCTCCACCCCCTCGCGTCCCTCCCTCCTTCAAACGTCCTCATCGTCTCCTCCCCCCCCCTTCCCCGGCAGGAAAGGGAGAAGGAGGATGAGGAAACGAGGAGGAGGAGGAAGAGCAGGAGGAGGAGGAGGAAAGGACGAGGAGGAGGAAGAGCAGGAGGAGGATGAGGAGGACAAGGAGGAGACGAGAAGCAGGAGGAGAAGGCGAGGAGGAGACGAAGAGCAGACGAGGAGGGGAAGGTGGAGGAGGTGTGTGGGGGTGGATTAGGAGGAGGAAGAGGAAGACGAAACATGTGGATGTTACAATTTTTATCATTAGTAATCCTCAGCATCATCAGCACCATCATCACAATACTAATACGACTCAGAATCACAATACTAAGCATCATTCGAATGGCAATACACAGTACTAAACATACGACTACTCGCAGTATCACCATTATTAAGAGTCGCTGTAGTAATCGCATTATTGCCTATACTGCTTATACACTGAAAACATACGGGTAATGCTAACCGCAATGCCAACATCATGAACAGTAATATTAGCTGCAGTAGTCATATGAACATCAATATTGGTATTAGCAGTAGAAGAATAAGGAATCGTAGTAGTAGTTGTATGAGTATAAAAAACGGTTGTAGTAGTAGTCGCATGAGTCGTAGTATCGGCAGTAGTAGTGGTAGTAGTAGTAGTCGTAGTAGTAGTAGTAGTAGTAGTAGTAGTAGTAGTAGTAGTAGAAGTAGTAGTAGTAGTAGTAGTCGCAGTAGTAGTAGTAGTAGTAGTAGTAGTAGTTATAGTAGTAGTCGTATCCGTCGTAGTAGTAGTATCCGTAGTAGCAGTAGTAGTAGTAGTAGTAGTAGTAGTAGTCGTAGTAGTAGTAGTAGTAGTCGTAATATTAGTGGTAGTAGTAGTCGTAGTAGTCGTAGTTGTAGTCGTCGTAGTAGTGATAGTAGTAGTAGTAGTAGTAGTAGTAGTAGTAGTAGTCGTCGTAGTCGTCGTAGTAGTAGTCGTAGTAGTAGTAGTAGTAGTAGTAGTAGTAGTAGTAGTAGTAGTAGTAGTAGTAGTAGTAGTAGTAGTAGTAGTAGTAGTAGTAGTAGTAGTAGTAGTAGTAGTAGTGTAGTAGTAGTAGTAGTAATAGTAGTAGTAGTAGTAGTAGTTAGTAGTAGTAGTAGTAGTGGTAGTAGTAGTAGTGTAGTAGTAGTAGTAGTCGTAGTAGTAGTAGTAGTAGTAGTCGGTGGTGGTAGTAGTAGTAGTAGCAGTAGTAGTAGTAGTAGTAGTAGCAGTAGTAGTAGTAGTAGTATCAGTAGTCGTAGTAGTAGTAGTAGTAGTAGTAGTAGTAGTAGTAGTAGAAGTCGTCGTAGTCGTAGTCGTAGTCGTAGTAACAGTAGTAGTTGTATCAGCACTAGTAGTCGTAGACGTAGTAGTAGTAGTAGTAGTAGTAGTAGTAGTAGTAGTAGTGGTAGTAGTAGTGGTGCTAACAATAGTAGTATTATCCGTAGCAGTAGTAGTATTAGTAGCAGTTGTAGTAGTAGGAGTAGTAGTGGTAGTAGTAGTAGTAGAAGTGTAGTAGCAGTAGCAGTAGCAGTAACAGCAGTAACAATAGTGATACGACCATTGACAACATCACTGCGAATGGTACGACCACTACAAAGAGCATGCATGTTGCCAATCATACGAGTATAGTAACAGTGTTGCTGCGAATAATAGAGCAGCATCACCACTAATACTATTAGTATGACGAATACTAGTTATACCACGGGAAAGAATGATAATGCGAACCGCAATGCTGATAACACTAAGACTGACTATGATGCCAATGTCAATCAAACCAGCAACAATACAAACACGAATGATACTGATCACCGTCATGATACGAACAATAATTATACTAATACCACAAACACTAACGATACTAATACGACGAATACAGATAATACGAATCATAAGAAGAAGCATACGTGGAAAAGGAGGAGGAGCCGGAGGAGGAGCCGGATGAATCAGAGGAGGGGGAGTTGGAGGAGGGGGAGTTGGAGGAGGGAGGGAGGAGGAAGAGGAGGAGGAGGAGGAGGCGGAGCATGTGGAGGAGGAGCTGGAGGAGACGAGGTGACGAGGAGACGAGGAGGAGGAAAGGGGATTGGGAGCAGGAGGAGGAGGAGGAGGAGGAGAAGGAGGAGGAGGAGAAAGCCGAGGAGGAGGTGGAGTAGTAGTAGTAGTAGTAGTAGTAGTAGTAGTAGTAGTAGTAGTAGTAGTAGTAGTAGTAGTAGTAGTAGTAGTAGTAGTAGTAGTTGTAAGTAGTAGTAGTAGTGGTAGTCGTAGTAGTAGTAGTAGTAGTAGTAGTAGTGTAGTTGTTTAGTCAGTAGCAGCAGCAGCAGCGTTGCTGCAGAAGCTGTAGCAGCAGCAGTAGTAGTAGTAGTAGTAGTAGTGTAGTGGTGGTGGTTTGGTGGTGGTGCTGGTGGTGGTGGTGGTTGGTGGTTCTGGTGGTGGTGGTGGTTTGGTGGTAGTAGTACTAGTAGGTTAGTAGAGTAGTGGTGGTTGTAGGTGGTGGTGGGGTAGTTAGTAGCTTTTGTACCTGTTATAGAGTTAGTAGTTGTAGTAGTAGTAGTCAGTAGTAGTAGTAGTAGTAGTTAGTAGTCTAGTAGTTAGTAGTAGTTGTTAGTAGGTAGTTGTGTAGTAGTAGTAGTAGTATAGTAGTAGTAGTAGTAGTAGTGTAGTAGTAGTAGTGGTTAGTGTAGTAGTAGTACAAATTGCAGTAGCTGTAGTGTCGTAGTAGTAGGTAGTAGTTAGTAGTCGGTGGTGGTAGTAGTAGTAGTAGTAGTAGTAGTAGTAGAAAACTAGTAGTAGTAGTTAGTAGTTGTAGTAGTCAGTCAGTAGTAGTATAGTTAGTTAGTTAGTTAGTTAGGTAGTAGTAGTAGTAGTAGTAGCAGTAGTAGTAGTAGTAGTAGTAGTAGTAGTAGTAGTAGTTAGCAGCAGCAGCAGCTAGCAGCAGCAGCTGCTCGCAGTAGTAGTATAGCAGTTAGTTAGTAGTGGTTATGGTGGTGTGTTGGTGGAGCTGGTGGTGGTGAGTGGTGGTGAGGTGGTGGTAGTGGTAGTATACTTAGTAGTTAGTAGTAGTGGTGGTGCAATATTGGTAGTAGTCAGTGTAGTAGTAGTTAGTAGTAGTAGTTAGTAGTAGTAGTAGTAGTAGTAGTAGTAGTTAGTAGTAGTAGTAGTATAGTAGTTGTAGTAGTAGTAGTAGTAGTAGTAGTAGTAGTAGTAGTAGTAGTAGTAGTAGTTGTAGTAGTAGTAGTAGTAGTAGTAGTAGTAGCCGTAGTAGCCGTAGGAGTAGTAGTAGTAGTAGTAGTAGTCGTAGTAGTAGTAGTAGTAGCAGTAGTAGTAGGAGTAGGAGGAGGATGAGGAGGAGGGGGGAGGAGGAGGAGGAAGAGGAGGAGGAGGAGGAGGTGAGGGATAAGGAGGAGGGGGACAAGGGAAAGGAGGAGCAGAGGGAGGAGAGGGAGGATTGGGACCAGGAGCAGAAGGAGGAAGGGGAGGAGAGCGAGGTGGAGAAAGAGGAATGAGTGAGGAGCCAGGGGGATGGGAGGAGAGGAAGGAGAGGCGGAGGGAGAGGAGATGGCTGGAGAGAAGGAGGAGGATTCTAAAGACGGATTCTAGGGATGCGCAGCGCGAGCGAGCGACAGTTGAGCCACCTTTGTACGAGCGCCGAAGCCAACGCCAGACATAGCAGGTGCCCTCTTCATGCCACATCACACTCATGCTGAACTCTCTGCCGCGGTTGGCGGCAAAGCTGGCTCTCCGAGGTGATCTTTGGCGGCACCTTTCTCGAAATACCCCTTCCGCCTCGTACACGCGCGCGTAACACGCCACCGCCTATTTTTCTGGGTCGAGAGGCGCGGTCTGTACCTCTACAGCTCCCGTTCCTGGCGAATCCACCGACCGAGCCCCACTAGACCCCGCGGAGCCGCCTCTACCCTCACGGGCCTTGAGCTCTCTGCGATTGGCGGTTTGCTGGGCCGCCTCTGCTTCCTGGGCCAGAAGCGCAGCAGCTCGGATCGGCTTGAGGGCTCCCTCCCATCTGAGATCGAGCCCCTTGGCAATCCTGGACAACTTCTCCTGCCCCTTCGCCGGCTGGCCTGGGCAACGCTTCTTCAGATGCCTGAAATTTGCAGTGGCAATTCGGCCGCACTCGTGGGAAAAGGGAGCATAATAGGCCCCCACCCACCCGCACTTATGGGAGGGGTGGATCTCTGCTGCCGCCCCCTGCTGGGGCTCCTGGCTCGCACGCGGCACCTGCGCCTCCTGACTGAGCCTGGGTGGCGCAGGCGCATGGCAGGGTGTCCTGCAGAATTCGCGGAGGGAGGAGCAGTGCACCAGCTGCTGGTAGACATTGCACTGCCATTCCAGGGCGACAGGACGAAGCGAGTGGGCCGAACTCTCTCTCTCTCTCTCTTTTTTTCTCTCTCTCTCTCTCTCTCTTGCTCTCTGGGTTGAGGAGGGGGGGGAGAGGAGGGGGAGGGGGAGGGGGAGGAGGAGGAGACACCCGCGCGGCGTGGTCTTAGGTTTCGACTGCTCCAACGCCTACAACAGCCTCCCGCGGGCCCGAATCTTTTCTGGACTCCGGGCTAGTGCGCCCGGCCTCCTTCGCACCGCGTACTATTGGTTGGGGACCGCCACTACGCACCTCTACTGGACGACGCCAACGAAGCCCGCTCACCAACACCGGCCTGACGGTCAACGAGAGCAAAACCCAGGCATGGTCAGCGAACAGAGCAGGTGGCCTCC